AACAGTGAGGCATTTTGGTGAGATAATACCGTCATTTTCTTTTTTGGCCTTCATGCAAATATCTATCTGCTGAATACAAATACAAAAAATCTCTGAAAATACTTTTAAGACATTTATTTGTATACACTGTGATCAGTAGGCTTTATGAAAACCTCTAAACCACAGCCTCACTCTTTTTTTTCCACTTTTGTATTTTTATAACAAATTTTTTTTTCCAATTGCATACTACTTTTTTTGTTGTCTTAGAATAAAATCTAAAATTGGGGAATAATTCTCACCCTAAGTTTTGTCCAGTAGCCTAATTATCATATTACCAAGTAAAAATAAAAAAGAGCAACTAAAATAGCATTACAGAAGAAACAGAACTATTTAACTATTTATAAAACAACTTGCTATTTCAATCTAATCCATAGTATGGTGGCTGACAAGATTAAGCATATGCACAACAACCCCTTATTTAAAATACACTTTTTCCTTCATTTTAAAATACTTTTCATTTAAATTCACAAAAGGATCCACTGAGAATGACTGACTGGGGATTTTTTTTCCACCAATGGATGTCATTTATTAATTTATTTATTTTTATGTTTTGGGTCAGAAGGGTGCATTTTCTTAGGTTATTTGCAACAACAACAACAACAACAACAAAAAAAAGTACTGTCCCAGGCATGACATTCAGAAAAATATGTTGTCACAACTGTAGTTAAGGATGTAAGTCACAAAACTTTATTTAAATGAAAGTCTTAACATGTGCCAGGTGCCTCACTCATTAAAAGCTGATGTGGATTATCATCATACATCTCAGTCTCTGTTATTATTTAGCAGAAAGACTGCTGATGTTATTCCATTTATTCAAGTGTTACATTAAGTATTTTTATATAATATTCAGCTTTTCTGCTATGCTAAGACATGTGTTGTAACACTGAATAACAAAGGCTCTCTCACCTGGGTCGTCTTGGCAACAGTCCTCTTATAAACTTATAGTAAGCAGTGTCATCACTCTGACTAAAAGGGGTGTTGATAAAAAAAAATGGGTGTGACATGATCTAAAATGTAAATCTACCTTACAGCAGGAATACAAAAAAATTATTATTTTATAAAACTCTATTTTCATATCCTTAAGCAATCCTAGAGTGTTTGTTTTTTTTATGACAGATTGGTAAATTCCAGCTTTTTATCTCACAGAAATATATTCATGGACAGAAACGTGGTCGACAAGAACAGTCGCACACATTTGCTGTGTTCCTGGTTTGCAGCAAACTACAAACCCACATTTCTTTATTTTTTATGCACAATTCAAAGTAAAAACAGAAACCTGAAATATTTTTTTATATATTAAAACAGCTTTGAAGCAGATCAGTAAGAGTAATCACTGAGCACATTATATCAGGATTATCTATCATCATGCTCCACATCAGGTCTTCGATGTGGCTAAAACTTCTTTAGCAGAACTGCTGGACACTTTCAGATTATAGCCAATTGGATTATTACCACTAATCCAATTAAACCTCTGCTTTAATCTGCGTTTAAACTGTCTGATGTACAGGATGACCCATTAGAGGTAGTAAATACTCAGTGATTATTACAGAAGTTATTTTGGATGATAGATAATATGAAAAAGTACATAACAGAGCAAGACCAGGCTAGAAAGTTAACTTTATGGCTTTTTAAGGCCTTCCAGTGGACACAAGTGACTAGATTTTCAGAGAGCAGGTTGGCGGCATGTTGTACGCACAGCTTAGCATCAAAGTTAAAATAGAAGAGATATAAATTAATGATGCATAACTAAACATGCCTGTGCAAACACACAGATATTCGGACTGATTAAGGCCTTTTTGTCAGAATAAAAACATGTTTGAAGGATGGTCTTTGCCTGGCCCTTTGTTTGCACTAATGTTGCCTGTAAAGGGCAAGCATAACTTTGCAACGCTGCTTGCCTCTAAATTAAAGGGAAGATAAATGGCAAACTTTAGGAGAGATGACCTTTTAAGGCTCAGTACTCATGTTTAAGAAAATGAGGTACTGTATGTGCAATTCTTCTTCTTCGTTTTTTATGTGGTTGGCAAGCAACTTATTGATGTGCATTACGGACATCTAATGGAATGGAGTGTGGATCGGGATGCTATATATAAATTCTCCCACAAAACAAAACAAAAAAATAAATAAATAAAATAAAATAATAATAATTAAGATAATAAATCTATTCTTTCTATCAATTTTGCTTTCTTAAGGTAATTCATTAAATAAAAAACATTTAGAGGTAGAAAGTTTGTCAAAAATATCTTGTATATTTAATTGCAATTTATTTTCTTGTAATCGACTAACTAATTCCCTTCTCTCAACAGAATACTTAGAACACACTAACAAAACATGTTTTACTGTCTCTTCTTGAAAACAAAAATCCCATTTCCTGCTGGATGTTTTCCCACTTTAAATAATGTACTATTTAACCTTGTATGATCAAAACGTAATCTGATATAATAGTTTCGTCTTTTCTATTTTTTCCTGTTCTTCTCATTGTGCCAACTTTTCTTTGAATACTGTAAAGTTCCAGTTCTATCCTCTTCCCACTGCTTTTGCCATCTTTCCTGAACTTTTTGTTTAATAATAGATTTAATTTCTTCTTTACTCAGTGGTATCATTATATCAATGTAACTATTTTCTGTAGCTTGTATGTGCAATTCTTCTTCTTCTTCTTTGATTTATTGGCGGTTGACAACAAACATTTAATAGCATTACCGCCACTTATGGAGTGTGGTTGGTGATGGACTATCTACTAATAAACATATAAATAATTTCTAATGAAAAAAAAACAAAAAAAACAACATACCTATACATAACTTTGTATTCTACTCGTCTATATCATACACAAATTCACCCTCTGTATTATCAAATTCTATTAAATAATTTTGTTTTCTTTATAAATCGAATAATTATTTGTATATGTTTACTCCCCAAATTCTTCCGCAAAATATCTAATAATTAATCTTTTCCTTAATACATTCAAACTCTCTCCTCATACATCTTCTCTTGCTTTCATATCTATGACATTCCAGTATAACATGTTCTATTGTTTCATATTTACCGCTTTTGAATTTTGAAAAGTGTATAATTAAGTCCTGTATGCCCAAATCTTAACCTTGTTATCACTCTCTCCTCCTTCCATAGTCTACGGAAGAGGATTAGGGCCACTGAAAAAATTAAAAAAGTGAACTGATTATTAAATTTTATTTCAGTATAACATGAGAAAAAAGTCAGAATTCTGACTTTTTTCTTATGTTATACTGAAATAAAATTTAAAAATCAGTTCACTTTTTTAATCAGATGCATTTTATTTCAGTATAACATGAGAAAAAAGTCAGAATTCTGAGAAAAAAAGTCAGAATTCTGACTCTAATCTTAGAATTCTGATATTTTCTCAGAATTCTGTCTTTTATTTCAGAATTGTGACTTTTTTCTCAAAATTCTAACGAGAGGCGTGGCCAGGCAATAACCAAGTATACTTATGGGTGACCAAAAGCAGATCGGCACCAGAACCTCAGGGTCAATCTACACTATTGCAACAGGAACAAGCACAACGTCCACATTTCTAAATAAAGACAAACTATAGTTTAATACGGCCTTTGCTAACAAATAGATGCATATATTTAAACATCCATCAAGATCAAAGGTATATAGAATAATTTCTTTGAGGTTTGAGTTCTGGAGCGAACATCGTTTCCATCATCATTACTTACCTACTTTTATCAATATCATTCTACATTAAATTGATATTTACAAGTACTAATATCTACATAAATTGATAACTTAATAGGTTTTTAGTAAAATAATTATTTACAGTATCTATGATTTCACTGAAGACTCTTAGATGACTTACACATTATTTTCTCTTTATGGCATATAACACAAAATCTACTTCTGAAAGAGTATGAATTCTGTACTAATTATCTCTAATGTTGGCATATTGATGTGGACAGTTAGCCACAGTGTTTTAGTTGTCAAGTAATTGTTAATATATATAAAATTAAATTGTTTTGAATACTCTACTTGAGAGAAAAAAATGTTAGGGGAGGCCACAGGGTTGGCTAATGATTGGCTATGATTGGTGACCATGGCCACCCCTGGCCCCCCATCTAGCTCCGCCCCTGATTCTGACTTTTTTTTTCTGAGAAGTCTGATTTTTTTCTCAGAATGCTGACGACTAACAAACATGTTAGCATCAAGCTGTAGCCATGTCTGTTTTAGAGACAATCTCTCTAATTTTTATCACCGCTCAGAGACGTAAATAGTAGCCTAATTTCGTCATTTTCCACCAATGTGTTACTGGAACTCGCAAACAACTCACACCTTTGTCAGTAAAGCTGAGTGCTCCTACGTCTTCCTTCATGGTGCCCATCTACATTTAGATCCAAAATTCTGAGGTTAAAGTCAGAATTCTGAGAAAAAATCAGAACTTTGAGATTAAAGTCAGATTTCTGAGAAAAAAAACTCAGAATTCTGAGATTAGTAAAAATTCTGAGATAAAAAAAGTCAGAATTCTGAGATTAAAGTCAGAATTCTGAGATTAAAGTCAGAATTCTGACTTTTCCCCCATATTAAACTTAAATAATATTTAAAAATCAGTTAACTTTTTTTTCAGTGGACCTACAATTCAGTCGTTTTGTTCTCTAAAATACAAAACATTTAATTGTGGCCTCAGTGACCTCTGACCCAGCGGTGTTGAAGCAACCGGAAATAGAAAAACAAGTAAAAGTGATGACGATTTGACTCCACCTCATGATGCCATTTAGCAACAGATGAGCAACGTTGAATGTTCATTTCTTGCAGCCCCACTGTCCAAGCTTTGACTTTAAACTTGCGCATAAACGGGACTAATTTCCGGTTGTGTAATGTTTACCGGGGTGCGCCCCTTCACCCTTTTCGGATCGTAGCCTGTGGGATTCCTCCATCCGACCCGCGAGCTGCTTTCTGCTGGCCGCGAGCCTCTCCGGTGCATCGCTATGGATGTGGTGTGGATGCTGCCGCTGCTGCTGCTGTTTCCACTCCTGATGTGGACCAGCAGCACGTTCCTTTTTTATTTCAAAAAGTTCTTCTATGTGGCCTGGATGATGTTATTGGCCCTGCTGGGGATTCCCGTGTGTTTACTGAAAAGCGGAGGTAGAGACGTGGAGAACATGAGGTGAGTTGGAAATGTCTGACAGCTAGCCTGCGTTAGCTTAGCTAGCCCGTTTAGCAGCAGTTGGAGATGTGAAACACTTTCAGCTCGCGGCGCTCTTATTTTGCCTAAAAGTTTTGTGGAAATATGAAATTGGTCACATTTTACTAAAAGGGAGGAGTCTGGGATTATAAAGACGCTTAACTTTTCGGTCGGAGTAGGAAACAAAAATTAAAGTCGGTGTATTTTTGTATTATATTTTTATTAAACATATGCTATATTAGCTCGGTTGACATAATGTGTGACCGTTAGCGGGCGAAGCTAACTCAGGCATGTCTGACAGGAATACTTTTCTGTTTATTCTCACAATAACAATCTCAGTCAGCTGTCTCATACCTAAACAAAAGTTTGGAAAGCAAACTTTGTTTCCCTAAACAGTATCCTAGAAAGAAGATCTGGAACGCCGATATTTTACTGAAGCAGTGTTGCAATGTCAGGAATGTAGGATTATCGTACTAAAGACACATTTATAATGTTTTGGGGAAAGTTGTAAAATCTTCATAACTAAAACAACAAATCTATAGTTATTCTAGTGTTTAATAATTGAATGAATTCATCAGCAGACCCACAGCTGCATTATTGTAATGTGTTCTCCATAAACAATCCTTAAACAAACAATCCTTATTACAAAAACTGGAGATTTGTATATTAAAAACAAAACACTAATCTCCTTTGAACAATGTTTTTATGTAGACTCCTTTGTTCTCCTATTTTTTTTCTTTCTCAAACTTCAGATTTCGCAGTTATGCATCAATATATGTATATTAGGAGTGCCACTTATGATTATTTTGCAAATCGATTGATTTGTCCATTATTATTTAGATTAATTGGTCGGAAAGGAAAGGTCCCTTAAAGAAGACTTTTTAAGAAATTAAACCAGGTGAAACTCAAAGCTTTCCATTGGAGCAGTTCTGGCTGGAGCATATTGGCAGATGAAAACATTTATCTTAAATGCAAAATGTTTACATATATATTTTTTTTTACAACTTTGGTAGAATTTTTGCCCTCAGTGGGTTAATCTGTCAGCAAAAAACATGTTTTAGAGTCTCTATACTCCAGCAAAAATTAATTGATTACTAAATTAGTTGACAGTTATTTTAAGAATTAATTAATCACGATTAATTATATATATATATATATATATATATATATATATATATATATATATATATATATATATATATATGGGGGCACCGTATTTCATAGTGTATGTGTGACCAATGAAAAGCCACTGAGAGCTGGCCTGACAATTGTGTCAAAGTGGATGCTGGCTTGACGTCAGTGATATCCTACTTTAATTCTGCACATACTGAATATTTTCCAGCTTAATTTATGACGCTATCTCACATATTATGCGTGCTTTAATAATTGATAACATTTTTTCGTAGCCTTTTCAGTTTCAAAATGGGATTATTTAAAGCCCCTGCATATGGTATAGATAATTTAATGTAGAGCAGCGCAATCCATCATGTCAATAAAAGCATGGCCAATCTGAAGTGACTGCTCCTCCCAATCGTTGGGGAGCTATTTTGTTGAAAGCATCATGAATGCATTGTATACTAATGTATGTAGCTATTTAGGTGGACTTTTAATGTCCTTGATTTCCACACCTTTTTTTTTATGCTCTCCTACTGATTCAGATATCTCCTTGATAATAACAGTTAAGCATTAAGGATATGTCTCAATAACATTCTTTTGGGGTAAAGGGGGACACTTTACAGAAGTTGCTCTCAAATAAATTTATACCAAAGATAAAATCCTTTGTGCTTAAGTTTTAGCATTTTGTGTGGGCAACATTCTCAATGTGCTTTCTTTAGAAAATAAATAAAATTAGTTTAACAGACATCTGCAAAAGACTGGGGCTTAGAGATCCAGGGGAGAAGCTCAGAAAGATAAACCTGCTCTTACACTTCCTGGTTTCTTATAGAGTAGGCTCTGGTCAGTTTATCATTTTGTCATTTGGAAAGTTTTTTTTACCCCACTTTAACTCACATTAAAGTCTAACCTTTTGTAGTGATCTGAAATAACAGGTGACAGGCCACTTTTTCTGACTTGTTTCCCCAGACTTTCCCTTTAAACGCTTGACTAAAAGTGAAAATCAAGAACTTTTATTCTCATCTGCTTTTATCATTTTCACAGTGAGAAGTTTTGTAGGATACTGGTAGTGCTTGGGTAGGATGTTTTTTACTGGTTGGAAAATGATTATATTTAGTATTTTCTTTCGTTGACCAGTCAAGTTGAAAATAATAAAATTTTAATTATCGTCTCCCATGCACATAGTGGTGACTGCATATTTTTTTATTCAATGGTTTACTATATTTAAAGACAGAAATTTGACTTTATTTCATGTTGAAACATCAGTTGCCAGACAAATTGAATTAGCTTTTTCATCTGTGCCCTTTGTTGAAACCAGAGAATCCCCCAAAGCCCCATTTTGGTTCTCCTCCTGAATTTGTGGAAGGGTGCTAACAATAGCCTGCCTTGCTTTCATCAAGCCATTCTCTATTCCACCAAAAGAAGGGTTTCCAACACTCAGGAACTTAAATCCAAGCAGCCAGGAAGCTTTGCTGTTGTGTAACTTTTTTACCTTTAGTGTATTTGACCAGGAAGCAATGGTAAATCAACCTCTGAACCCTCGTGAGGTGAAAGTAGGGTATGAAACAAAGTCTAAATGAGCTCTGTTTCATTTTTTTTTCTCCTGAAAATGATTAGACATAAATATAAAGACAGCGATGACTCTTTTAAATGTCTTACTTTTTGCCAGCTGCATGTCTGCATTTAGAATCCATATATTCAGAAGCACATGATGTACAGACTCAAAGTGAAGCACAGTGGAAGGAATCGGTTCATTTATTCTTGGAGAACAAAGTGTTTAGGTCAACTGTTGGGGGCTGGCTTACTGTTGTTAAGCATTTGTCTGCAGGGATGGACTGCTGCACATAAGCCAGTAATTACCTTGAAGACAGATGCCAGATGGCAAATTTCCTCTAATTAAATATGGGTTAGTGAATAGTTATGAGGCTGATTCTGCTCCTAACCTCATTGGGTTCTGATGTGCTGACAGCAGACCCTAAGGGCCCTTCTCAGTCGGTGGTGGAAACACCTTTAACCATTATTTCACACCAGCTATATAAATATTTTTCTTTAAGTTGTAATTGTTTTGACAAGTTATGGCTTAAATTAAGTCCTAACTGAAAACTTAAAAAAAAAAAAAATGTTGGACTAATGAAATATTTTCCCTTATCTATTAAAGCAGCATTGATATTGTAATTTATCATTACAGAGAACAACAGTTTAACTCAACAGCACGCAATTAGTCACTTGTTGATGCAGCAGTATTAAGGCTTATGCCCTAACAAGACTTAAAAAAATACAGGGGAACACTGAAATATTTTTGTAAAAGAAATCGAATATAAAAAGTTGCGCTTTATTAAATTATCCACATATTTTATAATAATACTGTTAAGACAATTGGAAAAAAAAAAAAAAACCTGCTGCAATAATATGATGCGGAGGACTTCAGGGGGTCCAAGGAGGTACTGTATGGGGGTCGTGAAAGCTTTTTTTTTTTATTATTTTTTTTTTATTATTATTATTATATATATTCCCCTTGCAATTTTTTCCACTAATTGAAATGTCTTTAAATACACATTAATATGAATTCAACACACTGTTGTAAACAGATAAATGGAGGCAGAAGATGTCTTTCAGTCATCAATGCACACATTCAGCAACACACAGGAGCTCATTGAACCTGGGAACCGTTTCATTCAGAATCAAAAATACTTTAATAATCCCAGGGAGAAATTACTTTCGTTACATGACTCCATCTGTAATAGACTGACTATAGAACTAGTTTCATATAACACAATTTCATAATATATATAATCAAGGGGTCCCCGCTCCATCTCGCCATCAGTTTGGCCTGGAAAATGTTGAAGACCCCTAATATAATGGATAGAAACCTTTGAGCTCTTATAAAAGCCAAAGATCCTCAAAGTCTGTCCAGCTTCTATATATTCATTAACAGCTGCTGTGGAGAGTAAATCATTTCTAATTAGGATTATAAAAATAGGAGCAACATGGGACCATTCTTATATTCACAATTTCCATAATCATAGTTTGTTTAAAGAAGTTTATTGTAGCTTCATTAGTAAATAACGGCATGTACTATGAGTCTGTGTTACTTTCTATAGCCTCGAACCGTTAAAGAACTCAAAGGTTTCCAGTTTCTCTCCTCTCTGTGGGCCTCTCAGATCAGCTGTGTGCACCTCTGGTTGTTCAGCTGGTCAGAGCGCTGATGAGAAGAGAAGGACAGGAAGCGGACAGTGGACCTGTCTACAGAGCTTTTTAGGAAGGCAGACAAGTTCCACAAAGTACTAAAGCATGTGCTCTATTCGTGCATTAAAAGGAATGACCAGCGTTAACAGGACTTTGTTTTTGCTCATTTATATGGTTACTCTGACAGCCCCTCTCTCCACTGTTTTTTTTTTTTCTTTACTTTATAAATGAGATTTCCATTCATCAACTCATACCTCTGTCTCTTCCTTCTCCTCTCGCTGGATTCCTGGTCAAACAGGTCTGAGGCATAAAGCAGACTTCTTTTTTATTCCAAATAATTTGTTATAATCCTACTAAGATGTGTGAGCGACATGGTTGAGCTCACGGTAGAAAAATACTGATAGCCGGATCTCTGTGTCCTCAGTATTAGCTATGGCCATAGGTGCGTGTTCAACGTTTTTCTTCTAGATGATCCTTAAATCGTAGGGAAGCGTACGTTCTAAACGGGTGCATTTCTGAGTTCTCTTGAGCGGTACCCGGCTTTACACGAGTGAATAAAATGAATGTTATTGGTAGATTATCAAGGGGGCAGGATTATTGAGGTGGAAGGTTCGCAAACGAGTCTGTTAGTGGCCAGTGTCTCGGAAGCATCTTGTTAACCAGTTAGCACTTGGTGCTAGAAGGTTCCCATTGGGAAATCACATTGGGACCAAGTAGCGCTAAATTGGTGACTTAGGAAGGACAATGTCAAGGAACGTTATGGACAGCGGAAACTTGCAAGAGGGGGAGGGTTTTGTGTCGGAGATCGTGGATGAGTCATACATTTTTTTTTTATTTAGAGGAGGAAAGTGGGGACGAAATTGTTGTGGAAGAGGACGCCAGGGCGGCAGAAGCTTGGTTTGGTGTAGAAAGCCTTCAGCCGTACATGTTTGAGTCCTTGCCTTGCAACGCTGCCAGTTTTGTTAGCTCTATGCCTGCCAAAGATACAGACGTCAATCCCTGTGAATACTGGGACGGAACTCAATGGTAAAGTAAATAATTCTTATTTCAACCGTTGCGTATATTAGCTGCGACATATGAACAAAGTTGCTATGACCAAAAAAAATTAGACAGATGACCGTTGGTACATGTTTGGCCGAATTAAGGTGTACAAGCTGACGTATAACTAACTGGCCAGCACAAAATAACGAGAGAAAAAACACAGATTTTAAGACATGATTTTTTTTTAAATAGAAATGTTCTAACTTTTGGGACATTATGATCTGATAAAGAGAACATTTATATACATGTTTAAGCCAGAATGATTTGACATTTAAATATGACTTCCCTACGACTTTAAAGCGTTTGTTCTCCAGCAGCCAGTGCATTATGGCAAAAGTCACTGCCAGTTTGGACTGCTACCATTGTGACGACAGTTTCCTGTTTCATTAGTCGTGGTAGGCCATCTCAAAAGCGGAGGCTGTAGTTCTACCTTAAAGCACTTTCGAAGGGACTCTGTTCAGCAGCGAAGGTGCTGTGAAGTGAGTAGGGGGAGGAAGAAGCCTAAAGAGTCGCTTTGGTTCACTGGGAATAACTCTTTGACTGTAGTGCTGGTTTCATGTTGCATCAGTGTACTGTGCTGCCAGCTCAAAGGTTATCTGGGCTTGTTGACTATGACAAAACAACACAAAAGGGGTGGGAGGGTAGAACATAAGCAGAGGGTGAACAGAGTTCTGTTGGTGCACGTTTCTGCATTTTATGCAGGCCTAGCCAAAAGGGTCGGGTGATTCATCAGGATGGGGGAGGCTGTCAGAAAGGCCTTAGTTCTGGATTTGACTTGGGACTCTGCAGCTGACTTACAGCTCTGTCTGTATATAGACGGCCTGCTGGGGAAACAATCTCACATCTGTTCACTCTATTAAATGCAACCCATAAAGGTTACAATTCATTTGGTGCATGTGATTTTGTTTATGTGCTCTTCACCAGAGAATCATCATGAATGGATGCTATATTCTGGGCATGAGTCAAGTCTTCAATATCCTCTTTGGATCTCATGATAATAATTATAGATAAGATGCTTGGTTATCTCACATCAATGCTTGAGCTCAGATTACATATTAGCAATCATACTCCAGTCAGCAGGAGAAGATTCTTATTCAACTTGATGGTTGTATTTTTTATTAAATCTGAGGATTATAGCAGAAGTAGATGATCAGACAAATTCTGTGTTGAAAAGTAATCTCATCACTTTAGAATTTTACTTTCTTACCATTAATTGAAAGGCTGAATGCAAATGATAGATGGATTTCATTAGACAACCATAACATTTTGGCAGGGATTTTTATTCGGCCTCCATTGTAAATCATTTTTGGAATGACCCTTTACAATTATTACTATGGCTAGAGGAATTTGCAAAACCAAAACTGCAATTATTTTTAACCAATATTGCGTTTTCATTTCTATTTTTAAGATTGTAGATGTTCCACCTCAGGGTTTCAGTTTTCTCATGGCCTTGTAAGTTTGCTTGTCCAGAGTCGAGTGTTGCAGGACTATATTGTAACTTTGGTATAAAAACAAATGTGCTTACCTCTACCTGGATGCATGCTTGCTGCCACTCTCACTACCTTTTCTTTTTTTAACAGATGGATTCTGTTCACTAATCATTTGTCTTCTGAAAGCTAGTGGTTGCCCTGCTTTTTATTTTGGGTGTTGGATACTTTTGAAGTATTTTTGGTTCTTTTTCTACTTTTTTGCTGATTAGGCTGGAATGACTTAGATTTGACCAGATGTGAAAAAAAATATTTTTGCTCTATTTTGCTTTGGAAACGAATCTAATTTGACACAAATTTCCTTGTTTGTGTTTCAAATAAAGTAAAATATGAAATACTTTTGTGAGCTACTGGATTCTGTTAAGATTACAGAGCTATTAGCTCTAGAGTACCTTAGTTTTGGGGTCTTTTGAAGATCAAACAGTAGAGTTTGTCCTTTTTCCGGGGTTGGAGTGGGTCCATTTCAACGTTGTTTCAACTGTCGCTTCATACCCAGACTTTTGCTGTCGCATGCGCTCAAACCAGATGAGCACAAATGGCTAGTGAGTCAAACCAAACCGGCCAGTTGTCAATGTTTTTTTTTTCTTTTCTTATTTTTTATTTTTTATGTTTTTTTATTTACCCCATAAAGGGCAGCATCGATGGTGCAACAGTGCTCAGCCGCTCCCGGCTGTTTGGTGCAACATTAGACTTGGTCATTCTGATATTTCCCATTTTAACGAGAGAGATGAAAGGTTCCTACTAAAATAAAAATAAAACATTCGGATGAAATAAATAGTTGTGGGTCAAGTTGGCAAAGATCCTAAAAAAGAGAGATGGGGATTGATGGATCAGAGAATAAGAATAAATAGAAGATTTGAAGAATTTCTCTTTACCAACAGTCTCTTAATCAAAGTGAAACCTGATCTAGCCCAATTACCAAGATTCTTTCATTTCTAACCAAAATTTTTGTTGTTTCCTCATTAATTCACTGTCACCTTATCGTCAATAATCTGCTTAAATCTGATGGAAAAAGTTGACCTTTGCATTGCAGAAAAAATAAATAAAAATACCATCCAAGCTGACCAAGTTTAGCCCTATTGCATAATTTGCTGTTCATTGGTTTTATAAAACAGCAGATCTACTTTGGACTGTTGTTTAGGTGTTATTGACTTTTGCTGTCACTCACCCTTCAGAAGTTCAAAGGATCCTTCTTACGGACTGATACTGAAGTCAACCCCAATGAAGTTAAGTTGGACTCATCATAAAAGTCTTGTTTGCAATCGTTGCAACAGGAAGTGATTGCGTGTCAGTGGCTTTTGAACTAGATTGAGCTCTTTATCTCTATATTGTCCTGCTGAAGGTCTGGCTTAAAGTCACAACACAAATTACCAGGGGAAGGTTTACAGGGTTTAATCCTCCCAGTTAAAAAAAAAGATCATTTTAAATGTTTTGCACATTAAATCCAGTATGATTTAATTCGTTTTGCCAAAAATTTACTTCCTACCTGTTGTATTAAAGGCTCTTTTACACAACTGCTACTTTGTAGGTTGCCAGTTTTCTTTTTCTTTTTAATTAATCAAAGGTAAATTATGGTAAAGATTACTTTAACACATGTAAAGATTTGGAAGAATAAAATAATTAACTATGCATGTCTGTACTTTCCAGGTCATTTTATTTAAAAAATAAAAAACACTTTTTTATGTTCCACAGCAATGTCGATCATAAGCTGTGCCTCTGCTTCATCCCCACAGCATAACGCTACCACCACCGTTCTTTTGAGATGGTTCCTTCAGGGTGAACTTTTGTGAGGTTTATCTCCGTGTATAATTTCTGCTTGTCACTCTTCAATAGAACTCGCAGTAAAAACTGCTGCTATGACTTCACCCATTGTTTTTAGACTGCCTTTTTGCTGCCTTTCCTCATCGTCCTAGAATAAGCACATTTTGACATAGGGGTCGTCCAGATTGAGCAAAAACAGAAACCTTGCATGATGCTGTATCTTCTTTTAGAAACCCTTCCCTCATAACTTCACATCTCTGTTGTCACACCCCTGCTTTATATGCATTCTCCCGGGTTTGCATCTGTGCAGCTTTGCATTAACCAAACCACCAACTGTGATCGCTAGAGATGATATGATGGAATGAATCAGGCCTTTGTTTATTTTTAGGAAGTTTCCATTGGTAGATCCAGGCTAGGATGATTTGTGGTTTTGATGATGACTGCACCGCTGCTGGCTCATGAACACCTGATCTTATCTAGCTACAGGCTAATCTAACAGTTAGTTTTTATTTTGTCACTGTTTTTTTTTTTTATTTAATATCTGGCAGGTTGTCATATCCAAGACTTAAACTCTGTGTATAGTGTGCTTTAAAAAAATCTGAAAATGTGTAACATAGTTTTGTCAGATGGCCACAAACTCAGACATGATTTCAACACATTTAGATGTCATAACATGAACTAAGAATACAGATTGTCAGAGAAAAAGAGCCTGTACCAATTGGATGTTAACAGTAATTACCTTCTTTTTTTTCACCTTTACCCATGCAGGGTTATCCGTGCGATGGTCCGCCATGTCAAGTACTTTTTTGGCCTTCGAATTGAAGTGAGCGGCTGGGAGCACCTGCAGACAGTAGGTCCTTACGTCATCATCTCCAACCACCAGAGCTCTCTGGATGTTCTCGGTAGGTATTCTCTTTTTTTAGGAATAATGTTTTTATGGATTTCTTTTTGCTATGGGGACTGCATTGACAATGGATGCAAGGAACATAGTCCACTCAGACTCCATGTCTTCAGCCTCCCCCAGAATGACCAATATAAGTCGGACCCGTTCGCGGTGCATGCTGGACTCCGTTAGAGCTGTCCTCTGTCATCGGTCCTGACTATGTGGTTCTACAGGCTCCCTCCTTCCAAGACCTACAGCATGATCTGGGGTGGTATTCATCCGAGTGCGAAGTGACCAGGAAGAATCAGCTCCACTAAGTCTGAGGCCATGTTCTGTACAGGAAAAAGGTGTCTTGTCCACTTCGTGTTGGAATAGAGTTCCTACGTCACATTGAGAACTTTAGATATCCAGTTCACTAGTGAGGGAAGAATGGAGTGGGACATGGATAAACTGATCGGTGCAGCTACAGCTTTAATGCAGACTCTGCACAAGTCTGGTGCGGTGAAGAGGGAGCTGAGTGAAAAGGCAAAGCTCTCCATTTACCAGTCAGTCTACGTTCCTACCCTCATCTATGGATGAAGTCAGGATCATGACCAAAAATACGAGATCCTGGGTACAATCTGCTGAAATTAGCTTTCTCTTTAGGGCGGGATAAGGAGCTCAGTCAATCGGGCGAGGCTGTGAGTAGAACCGATTATTTTTTTTTTTTTTATTGCTGAGGTGAATCGGCCTTCTTTCTTGGATGACCTGTTGGTCCTGTACTTTGGGAGGTGTTCTAGGCAGGTCCCACAGGAAGGTGGCCAAGGGAACAACCCATGAAAATCTGGAGGTCTCTTGGCTTACCTGGGATCATTTCGGGCTTCTGTCTAAGGAGACGGAAGTCTGGGAATCACTACTGAAACTGCTGCCCCTGCGACCTGGTGAAGGATAGAATAGAACTGAATTCAACTTTATTGCCAATACACTGTCACAAGTACAAAGCAATGAAATACAGTTTTCATCCAACCGGATGTGCTATACAGGATATAAATATTTATTTACATGTGCACCCAGACTATGCATGTATGATAAATACATGCATAAAGATAAATACATACACAAGAATGTTAAAGAGAAAGATGACCAATCCGAGTATTTCTTTTTGATTAATGTCTTCTTTGATCAAATTATAGTTTATCTTTCAGAAGAGAACCAAAATTGAATGTCGACCAGAAACAAATTTCAGACTACAGAGAAGACAGACTGTCATCCATCTTTAAGCACAGATGGTAGCTTGTAATCAGACTTTCCTAAAAAAAGAGCAGCATTATGATGTAAGCCAGTTATGTATTTTAAATTTAACAGTGGGTAATTTTATTTTTATTTAGTTTTGACCTTTTTTCCTTTTATTCGGTTAGTTTTATTTAGTTTTTTAGAGAAGGTTTGCTAGTTTTAATTGAGTATTTTACTAATACTTAGTTTTAATTTACTTTTTATTAATTCTAGTGCTAGAATTCCCCCTAAGGGGGAAAACACATTTTCTTTTACAGAAATACTTAAGCTTAGCGCCAAAAGAGCAGAAAGATGGCAGATGTCCAGGTGCAGGGCGAAAGAGAGCGGAGCAGGGGAGCCAGCTGACTGAGGCGGGGAGCTCGGTTGACAGAGAGAAAGGAGGACAACGTAGCGCTTCTGATGGTGGGGCGGGTGTGACAGTGTGTGTTTGAGGAGGAGACAGAGAAAGGCACAGTGGCTCAGAGACGAATCACGCCGTTAATTTCATGATCCTGCGATGTGGCCAAAAAAATTACAGATTTTAATAGAGTGAATGTTGTGCGTTTAATGGCAAAAAGGAAGTGTTTCTCAGAGATGGCAAATTAAGGGTTAGGCTGCTTTTTTTTTTTTAGCTTAAATGCAAAATACTTTTATACTTTTTTAAATCTTGGTATAATTACTGCTCTAAGTGGGTCACTCTGTCAGCTAAACACATGTTTTAGAGTCTCTCTACTCCCGTTAATGATTAATAGATTATTAAATTAGCTGACAATTATTTTTTTAAATAATCGATTAATCAGTTTTTTCGATAGTTTCAGCCCTATTTTCTATGCAGCAGTAAAGCCCCCCCCATCAATGGATTCTGGACAAGAAAGCATTTAAAGCCATGAAATAAATTAAACCCTGTATTTTATCTTCCCTCTGCTTTTTACCTTCAACAAGGACTGTTGCTCAACTCGGCAAGCGATTCCCTTGAATTAAATTTTTTTTATCTTTTTCTGTGTTGGAATATATCTACAAAACATTTATATCTATAAGATGTGTTGCTTTTGTTTAGTGCTGAGAAAAATCCAAAGAAAATCCCTATCTCAATTGTGATTTTTGTCAAAATCGTACAGCCCTAGCTTTAATTACAAAAGTACTGTTTGGGTCAACATGTGGTTTATTTGCCAGGACAGAATTCAGTGTTTGTCTCTGGACTCTGGCCAAATCTCTGATTAAAGAGCAGAAAGGTTAGACCTATAAGGAGAAAGAGGACTTCTGAACACATCTTTGCCGTCTACGATTTAATACCTCTGCCAATTCATTCAGGGAAAACACATTGCTTACAGTGACTTCATGAAACAAGCGTTTAGGCTTGCCAAGGATCCCTTTCAAAATTTCAACCTTTTTGTTTCACTACCAGTTACCCTTACTGAATCCTCTGAATACAGATGTAAGACCAGCTTGGCTCTTATTAGATTTAGCGGAGGAGATTGCTGTGCTGCCATAGAGCCATAAACAGATTATTATGGTTTTAATTTGGTCTCGAAGGTTAAAGAGACATTAAGTGATCACTACTTATCAAGCTGAATACCTGCCTGTAAATTGGATGACAGTCTTGGCCTTAATTGTGTGTTTGCTGTCAGTTCTGTTGGCTTTTTAACTCTTAGTTCTAAATGTGATCGTGAAGTGACACCAGTTTGGTGGGGATGTATTTAGTTCCTGGAGGAGAGTTTCTCTGGGTTAGTGAGTGATGAGCACAGGCTCATGTCCAGGGGAGTGACAGCAGAGAGAGAGCCAGGCATCTCATTAGTGCAGGAAAAAGCTCCACAGGAAGCTAATTCAGCATCCAAGTTACCATGCCAACGGCTACACACGGCCATTAATAGCAGATCTCCTCCCAGAACAGGTGTGATGAGAGAGTTTGGAGCCCAAATAGTCACCTCATCCCTACAGATGGGACTTCAGTTTTCCTTTTCTTCTTTGTTGGTAGAAATTCATTCCCCCTCCGGATTTTCTCTCTTTTGCTGATGTTGTCTTCCTCTCTGAGTTTTATGACCCTGGCATATCACTTACTACAGAGAGGTTGTTAAAGCATGCAGATAACTCCCTTCAATAAAGATATGTTTGGTCTACACATGCAGCATGGCTTATCAGATGTTTACCTACATTAAGTCTGATTCCAAGTCGAAAAGATCAAAGTTCATACCAGACCTTTGCATGTTATGTATTAATGCTATTATTGCATTTATGGATCTTTGTGCCCATTTTGATTAAATGTGCTTTAATCTTTTTTTATTGTTCAAGTAGAGTTACTCTCCAATCACTAATCATAGTAAATATTTCTTATTTGGACACTAATTTGTGTATATTTTGGGGTTTATGTGATAAACTAGGAGTCTGTTTATTTAGTTATGGTTTAAGCTAACTCTAAAAGCTAAAGTTGATCCATAATAGAATTCTTTATTCTTCAAATTTCCAAGGCATTAAATTAACAGATGCATTTATAGAGTAAATTGGACACAGATGGTGCGTTTACTGCATTTAGTGGCAGCAGAGTTCAGAGGGGGGTGAACATTTTTGAAGTCACACCAGTCGCCCTCTTCTGGCTATCTGAGGGCAGAGCAGAACCATTCCTGGTCTCTGTGGTTCTGTATGTGCTCAAAGAAAGTTGGGTTTCAAATGGTTGAAAACAAACCTCCTTACCTTGTGCCTGTCAGGAATGATGGAGATCCTACCCGACCGCTGCACCACGATAGCCAAGAAGGAGCTGGTTTACGCCGGCACGGTGGGCCTCATCTGCTGGCTGTCTGGCATCGTTTTCATCAACCGCAAGAAGACGAGCGATGCCAAGAGTGTCATGGCAGACGCTGCCAAAACCATGCTTGACCAGCAGGTAATCAAACAGTTTAGGAAACACATAGGGTTGCATCTTAATCTAGAGGTTCTTTTTTGGCCGAGGTTTGGTTTTAAATTGCACTCCTCCTCTGTTTAACCTCTCTAGATTCGGTTGTGGGTTTTCCCAGAGGGAACACGCAACCAGAATGGGGATCTGCTGCCCTTCAAAAAGGGAGCTTTCCACCTGGCGGTGCAGGCACAAGTAAGTGTGTTTCACCTATTGTCTGCTGATGATACGTTTCATTTCCTTTGGAGTGGTCCTGTCTGCGTCCCCTCAAACTGACCCAGAGTCACACTTTTAGTTCTGTTATCCACACCCTCATCTTTGACTGAACGGGCTCGGGCGGCTCTGGCTGCTTTCCAGGAAACTTTGCTCAAACTTCGGCTTACAGAAAAACGATAGGCCACTCACCGACACATGGGGGAGCCAGAAGTCTGATGTGGAGCACAGCCAAGTTATAATTCAGCCTTATTGGCTACATTAGATTACAGCATCTGCTTTCAGCACAGACCTCTGTAGCACTTTTGTTTAGGAAACCCTGCTTTGATCGTCGTGCACATTGTTTTCTATTCTTTTATTGCCTCAGATTTTTAGAGCAAGGGTGAGCAGAGCTTTCAACACAGATTGACTGCCATGTAGTTCACAGCTCAGCTGTGTGCGCCTATGATCTTTAGGCTCTGCATGCCTGCAGGTGGGAGGTCTCCGTTCTGTCGTTGGTGTTCGATAGCGCACATGCAGGCTCACACAGGTGGAATGAATTAAGAAAACATGCTGTTGAATAGAAATCTGGCGTGAAAGCACAGCTTTTTCGAACCTTGAAAACAATACTAAATATGTGTGGCGAAGCTAATAGTTCTATAAGTTTCCGCTAAAGATTGGTGTCTGTTTACTTATCAGGAGTTTTTTTGCTTCAAATGAAAATACTTTGCAGAAGTTTTTACGCCAGAGAATAACCTCCCCCCACATTTATTTAGTTTTTTTTTTTAACGCAGATGCTGATTGGTTTTGATGTTAGTCTTCCTGAGAATTAATAACTTAATTTCATTATTATTTAAACAATTTTTTAAGCCAGTGTAGCTTCTGAGGCTGTTGACATTGTGGTCTTTTTTGCTTTGCATAGAAGCCAAACATAAATCTTTCTCTCTGCATTCTCTCTGTCATCAGTTTTGAGTCTTGCAGACATATTGTATTGGTTTTAGGGCTGGGTTTGGATCATTGTAACTTGTGTGAAGTCTTTTCGCTGTATTTCTAGCTTTGTTTTTAGGGTGGTTATCCTGCTGGAAGAGGAACCCTTTTCCTATTTATATTTGTTGCAGCTCCTATCAGGTTTCCTCCAGGAACTGAACTGTATTTGCCTTCATTCATCCTCATGTTGACTCACAATGCTGCCTCTACCATGTTTCACTCTCAGGATTGATAGTACTTATGCAGTGGTGTCTTTGCATGAGGTCTCCTGTCCTTTATTGTTTCCTGGCTCTACATATGTAAAGGAATGTCTCATTACCAGCTCTCTGCAGGGATTCACACCCATGGCTTTCTGTTGTCGGTGTTCCAGAAAGGCCTAATTTGTTAAATGCATGGTTAACCGTTGTCCTGTCATCAGATTCTCCCACCTGAGCTGTGGTTTCTGTGATTGGTGGATTAAGCAGCGCACCAGATGTCCAGACATGGAAATATTATTCATAGAAAAACAGAGCAGCCACATTCATACAGAGATGAATCGGGACCCGTCGCTTTGTTGGAAGGCATTTGGTCGCACTGGATTTTATTTTGGGTTATGAAAGTAAATGGGGCTGAACGTATCACATCAGTCCAACTTAAAACTAGAATATTTTTTTTTCTTACTTTAACTAAGTACATTAAGTTGTGGACTTTACTGTCGTAGAATGTTAACTGAAAGGACTTTGGAAGGAATTCGTTCTATGAAAAATCTGCTTTGTAATGTTCCTTTTTTTCCCTTTGCTCTGCAGTCTTTCTGTTTGTACTCTGCCTCATTGAGAGGAAGCAGGACAGCCCCCAGGGGGCGACACGTTTGGCTAAGTTTGGGCCCAGAGAGCTCCTCAGCCTCTCTGTGATCCAGAAGAGATGAAAATGTGTCGAAGAATGTGTTTTGACAATATTCCCACTTCTGTCTCCTTTTTTTCTGTCTTTGTTGCCTCCCTTTCAGGTTCCTATCGTTCCTGTAGTCTTCTCCTCCTACAACAGTTTCTACCTTCGAAAAGAAAAGCAGTTCAATTCAGGTAACCCCGCTTTAAAAGTTGCTCAGTACTTCTGCACATGTTTACACGAATTAATGTTAATATTTGAGGTTTATTTTCTCTGCAGGAACCATCAAGTTGAAGATCCTTCCAAAGATTGAGACAAAGGGAATGACCTCAGAGGATGTGTCATCTCTGTCCGACCTGTCGCATAGCCTGATGCGTACCGCGTTCCTGGAAATCTCTGACTCCGTACCCCAGAGCAACGGGCCCCTAAAGCACTGAATATTGGCCCCCGCCACCCCTGAAGGAGACCCCCCAGCCGCCCAAGACCTCTCTGCTTTTGCCAAGTTTGTCCCGCGGCCCGCCCAGGAAATGACACGGGGGCGTATTTGTCCTCGTCCAGCGAGCCTCTGGCCTCAATCGTACAGCTCAGTCAGTCCTGACCCTCGGCGCCGCTCTGCTCGGCGCGAGCGGAGTGACGGACGGCAAGCCGAACAGTATGGATGTGTCGCTCATGCATGCCTTTCAGATGACTCTGTCCACCTTCACTGTAGCTGTGTACTTTGGCTTCATCGTCCCAGTTAATATTAATTCTTTTTCCTTTCTCTCTGCTTTTGTAGCCATCTGACTTCTGTTAAACACATAAACTTTGGCTGTTTTTTTTTTTTTTTGCGGGGTAATCATAACATTGCTAGATATTTATTTGCTCCTATCAGATACCCTTATTTCATTTGGTACCCCATCATCTGTCTGCTTTTTAATGTCCTGAGACATTTCTGCATTCCAGTCTGCTTAAACGGCCAATGGAGCGGGATCTCCATGAGAGGTAGAATGAGCAGAGGAGACGACACGAGTTCAGTTCTTCTGTCATATCGGCTGAACTGCGTCAGAAAGCAAGGATTGCAAGATGCCGTGTTTAACAATCGCACCCCATCTGTGATAGATGAACAAGCTTAGTAAACTGATCGGTGTTCTGTGTTTGTGGTCTTTCCAAAGCAGCAGAGAAAAAAAGAAAACTTGGCGCTGCGATCAGCCGCAAATCTCCTTTGGCTTCATTTGCTTTGTTGCTGTATTTATTATTTCCCCATAGAATTAGATTCTTTTTTTTTTCCTCCTTGCTTTTTAAAAGCAATGGCTTTTCCTTTCCTTAGGAAAAATCCAGAGGACATATTTAAGATGTCGAAAGGTGACTTTGTGTCTTGAAGTGATGCCGTTTTAGCATTACAGTTCCAAAGTGCAAGCTACCTGCTGTGCCATGACATTTCCTATAAAAATTCAAAGCAATGTTTATTAATGACCTTCTTTTCCCAATAATATGAAGCTGATCTAATCGACTAATTATCTCGCTTGATTAGCTGACCTGTACTTAGATAACAATTTAAGTTGAAAATGTATTTTGATTGACTGAAGCAAGTTTTTCCTTCTTTATTTAAAGTAAATTTTAGTTGGGATGTTTTTGATCTAAGTTATGGCTGAACTTCTCTAGAGAATTGATTGCATTATTTAAAAGAAATTGTGAAGATTTTGGCCTTATGTTTTTTTTTTTCTTGGCTTTTCTGTATTTTTTTTTTTTTTTGTCGTACTGATGCTAACTTCTAACCTCCTCAAACTGAGTTCCTTTATTTTTACATCCAGGTTTTACTCACTGCCTTCACACTGTCACTTGTTTGGCTCATCAAACACCATTTAAGAATGTACTGCAGGGTGTAGGATCTTTTTGTTTGTTTTTTTGCTAAAATACCTCTAATTTTTTAACAACCCCTTAAAGATGAGTTTTTTTTTTAAAGAGTAGCAGATCTTTCACTTGAACTACCTCAAACGAGGTTTAGTTCCTGTTTAGTTTTTGTGTTTAAATTTAAACAAGAAGCTATTTTCAGGTAATTTTCTAAACCCTTCTTTCTGTAAAACCATGACATGTTTTCTCCTTCTCACATTGAAAAGTGGCTTATAGAAAATTGCCACCATATCCCTGTTTGTATTTATGCAAGAAGGGAACAGAAGTCATTGGATTCCAAAGTCCCTTAGCACTCTGATTAATATGTAAAACAGAAATTAAAAGAATGCATTTTTTTATTTTTATTTTGTAGAAGCTCAACAGTTTTTTTACAAGCTGGTTTTCAAAGGAAGACATTTCAGAGTGAGGAAGACTTTGACTACAGGTGCTGGAAAATTCTCCTTAGACCAGAATTAATGGACCTTCCACAGATCCTATTGGATCTTAAAATAATGATGAAAATGTATATTATTTTTATATACCTTGGTCCAAAATTTTTAATATTTATCCTCCTGACAGACCAAATTTCAGTTTACAGGTAGACTCCATCAGATTTTTAATTTAAATGTTCAAAGATTTACCTTTAGAAGAAAAACAAGCCCACAGCATCACAAGTGTGGGGGGGTGGGGCGCTCCTACACAAACCGGTGTTATGTAGATACTCTGGTCTCTGGAATATTTATGGAAGCTGTTGGTGCCGGGGTTAAAATAACCAACTAATTCATAAATTAAAGATTTTGAGTTTGGAAAAGCTTTTAGTAAATCTTTATTTAAAGGTGCCAATGTAACAAGCAGGGTGCTGTTTGGTTCTGCTTGGTTAGAGGAGGAATGTTCTGTACAATACAGCAGGTTTAGCTCCTAGAAGATGTTTCTTTACCCTGTAGATTTTATACTTGTTCACAGTTCATCAGAGGGACTGATCCATGGATTTATCTAAACATAGAAAGTCTCTATTCTGCTAATCAGGTAGATTTTAGGGATGTATGTCACTACTAACAGTTCTACTGATTAACAGTTTTCTTCAGTAGTTTAGATCTGATTGTCTTTTTCTTTGCAAGTATTCGTTCTATGCTGCAACTTATCCAAATGGTTAAAAGCACTCTACCAAACTGGGCTATTCCAAAAATGGGGAATATATTATGGTTTATATTTAAATGATCAATTTCCAGCTTATTTCCTGGTTTTATTTGACAGCTTTTGGATTTTATTTGTGTCTTGATGTCGATGCAGTCAAGTCTGCAACAAACTTTGTGTTCATTCTACAGGCACTTCTTTATAATTAAAGATCATCCCAACCTGATTAAAGCACTTTTCCTTCTGGATTTTGAAATGGAAAAATATAAATATATATATATATACCTATATATGTTTTTTCTCTTTTTCTTTGTAACCAAAGTGACATCCAGATGCGTAGCTGAAATGGAGCAGAGATCCTGCAGAGCCTTGTGTGAGTGATGTATGTATGATCTGTTGCCCTGTTTTGCGTTGCAGGAAAATAAACTTTTTTTTTCTTACCTGTCTGTCCATGGAAGTTATTTTTCTTTCAATCTTTTTGAGAAACTGAGCAACTGATTTTAGACATGTATACCACACTAAAGAGTGTTATTATACCCCTCTAGCTGAGTAACATGAAAATAAGAACCATCTTTAACTTAATCAGCAAAACCTAAAGTTATGTTTTTGGAAAATAACGGCAGTCATCCAGGGAAACTTTTTGGGAACGTCTGTATGATTAGTCTGTTCCTAAGGGCAGTTGTAGATACTGATGTTGATTGTAAGGGTTCAGTTGTACATTTATCAATTTAGAAAACATTTTTTATTAAAACTATGTAATTCCCATTTTTTTAAAGACTTAAACTTGAATTTTCATCTGAGACAGTGAAAAAATATTAAAAATTCTGAGATAAATCTATTAGTTTCTGACAAATTCTAATTATATATATATATATATATATATATATATATATATATATATATATATATATATATATATATAGCCTCTGAGTTTGTAGTTAAGATTTCTATTAAAAAAAAAAATAATATAATAGACTCCTTTATAATAAAAAAAAACAGGGATTTTGTAATTATAAAACGTTTTTCTGCATCCCCTTTGTACACATTGTATAGTATTTAAATTTGATTCAGGATTTTTTTGTTCTTTATATCTTTACCTCTTGGTAAAGATCACATGACATCAGATCACAGATCTGTTGCCTCAGACTTTATCCGTCTGATTATGCAATCTGTGCAGCTCAAATGCAATATCTAAACGAAGTTTTTAAGTAAGGGTCAGGGTTACCTTGACCAACCACGCTGTTATCACTGCAACAACTGTACTCACTGCCATAAACCCAGGTTACTAAAGGTTGAAATGGTTTTGAGGACACTTATGGAAAAAAGGAAAATAAAAAAAAATTCAGCTATGACTTTTTTTTCTTGTTTCAAAATACCATTTGGTGCTTTAAAAATCTCATTAGGACATTCAATTTAAAATAAACTTATTAATCCCATATGGAATATGAAATATAGCTTTTAGATGTTTCTTTGAGTTATTGATGTAATACCCGTCTTTCTTAAAGCAGATCTAGAGAGGCTGCATGAATGGGGCCCGCTCCCTCGCTCAGTGGTGTCCTGTGTCAATCCAGGTTTAGTTAAGGCAGCTCACTCAGCCCACAGATCTCAGCACATCAGGCGACATCAGGATCAGCCCACGTCAGCTGATAAGCTCTAGATAACCGTATTCAGGCCGGCCCACATTTGCTCCAAACCTTAACCCAGCTGGGGGACTTTTCCTCTACAGTCGTGTGGTATTTTTTCCAGCAGTGCTGGTTAGTTTACTGTACCTTGGAGAAGTATTCATACCCATGCTTCACATTTCAGTCACATACTTCTGTATATGATGGAGCGCAAAGAGAAGCTCTGGTCTAGAGTTGAACTATTCTAGCATAGAAATGTATTAAACTAGTATTACTCATTCATGTTTCCAGAGCAACTTTTTCTGTCTCATGACTAAAGGCTTTCTCCTCGTCCTGCTCTTGCAGTTTGCAACTCATAGCTGTGCGGTCACTAGATTATCTCACCTGAGTGTCTGATTTCTGCAGCTCCTCCAGTGTTAACATGGGCCTCTCACCCTGCATATCAGATATCCTGCCTCTCATGACTGATGGATTTAACAGGCTTCTGTGTAATGTTCAAAGCTTGGGGCAGTGTTTTATTAATCCTCCTTAAACTTGTCTGTAGCTTCCTATCTGCCCGCTCTACTGCTGTCCTTGGTCTAAGGCTGCTGTCCACAAATCTTCACAGTTTGATGTTAAAGTTGTGCATTTTTAACATTAATATGTCTTGGATCATGTTGAATCCTATTTAACCCTTTATAGGGCTCTCAGTGAAACACTTTGAAAATCTAAATTTCAAGCCAATAGTGTTATTGGAATCCAAGACATTTGTAACATTCAAAAAACATGGATATTTTGATGGCAAAATGAATGTCAATGTAATAACAAGAAATGTCAACTTGCCCAAATAAAGAAACACTTTTTTTTTTTTGGTACTACATAACATTAGAGGCATTGATGCTGATAGTGGCACTTACATTTTTTAGTTTATAAATCTAAATATAATTGTTAATTAGGCTTATTAATTTTTTAACTTTACTTTTTAATTTTTCAATTAGCTTTATACCATTTCATTGACTTGTTAACCTTTTTTTTTTCAACTTAATTTCCAGTAGGTAATATATCATTCAAGGGCTCATCTAATTGGTCAAATTAGATGTAAGGGGGACGCGAGGGATCAAAAACAGTAACTTGCCTTATAAAGGGTTAATCATGATAATTACTTGGGGAAAAAATGGAAATACTTGAAATTTTATTGTATTTTTGATTGAATTATTTCTGTTGTTGTATAATTTATGATTTCTATATATCGAACCTGCTGTATGTTTTTATTTTTGCACATTTTTTTTTTGCATTTGGAACAACGTAAAAACCACAATATATTTCTGCTGTAATTAAACTGCACACTAGTTTATATTATTACTTTAATCACACAAATAAGAGACTGTAAAAGGTACAGAGCTGCATTAAGTTTATAGTGGGAATGTTTATGATCAGACCATTGCAGTATTGATTGCAGGGCCCAAAAATCAAAGATGGCTAAGGGCCCTGTAAGTGTGGGCAGGCCTTGCTCTAAGGTTACAAAAAATAGCTTAATTTATGCTTACGTTTATATCTGACAAATGCAAGCCACACTTTTCAGATGTTTCTTTCTAAAACTCCATTGAAAAAGAAAAACTTTTCTTTGACTAATGCAGAACTTTGTGTTGCTTTGTCACATAAAAACATTTTGATAAATAAAATGTGATAGTATAGAATGTAATAGTATGCAACCAATTATGCTAAATCTGTATAGATGTTTCATTAAACATTAATCTGTGTTTGTACTGAGAGAGCACGCAGGCAGCGTTTTTGGATTCAAACTTTTATTACAAAACCGTTACAAAACTAGAAGCACTTAGGAATGCCTATGAGTGATCATAATTTAAATAGATTAAAATAAAAAAGATGTGTGCAAAGGCCCCAGGGCGAGGAGGGGGCCCCTGACATGGGAGAAGCCGACTGCTCTGATGCACATGGCTATACGACCGACACAGGGAGGCGATGAAGCGCTGCAGCCGACTCCTGCTGCAGGTACCGTTGCAAAATCAAGACCCAGGATGAACAGAAACCATTCTTTTAATTTCTTTTCTCTCCTTTTTTTTTTTTTTGGAATGGTGTGAAGAAAAATCTCCGAAACGTTTGTGCGGTGCGTGCGTCACAGCATAATAATGAGATGATTCTTGATGCGTGGGCTAATTCTCCTGACAAGAACCTAAAAAAAGAAGAATATGGAAAGAGTTACAATGGTGTTCATCGTTAAAATAGAAAAAATGCATAATCAGAAGAAAATACATTAGATTTGAAGATTAAAGAAACATTTTGGGGCCCCTCCAGAGTGGCAGTCCTCCCCAGCACAGCTGTTCTGCTGCCTCTGGAGACATTCTAACAAACCAAAAGCTTTCAAGGTTGGATTTTTTGAAAGCCAGATGAGTAATAATAACCATTAAAAAAGTTTTATTTGGATAACTTTTGACTGATTGTTTGAAATATATGAAACCTTTAAAAAAAGAGTAAATATTTTTGGTCCCTAGATGACATATTTGGCAGCAAAACATCTGGACACATTTGAACTGACTCCTATTTAATTAGATTAAAACTTAAGAGCAGATACATCACTTTGCATAGTTTTATTTGACTGTTTCACACAACCTTTAGAGCAAGACATTATGACATTAAATTCTCAAGATTTAATCATCCTATTATTTTATTATTTATACATTATGGATGAAAAGTATTACATTATTTGCTATCGTTACATCTCAGATCTTAGGGGCCATTTTGAGTCCTCCTTTCATGGAAATAATTTTGGAATTTATGAGCACAAGAAGCAATCAAAAGTCAACATTTGGTTGCTCACATGTGCCCAGACGCTCCTCTAGGAAGCCTATCTGCTCGCTGAGGGAGTCGATGCGGTCCAGTTGGCGGAAGGAGTGGGTCAGCAGGGTGGTTTTCTCTGGGAAGTTCTCATCCAGCGACAGCGGGAAGAAGCTACTGAAGGGCGCCAACACCAGCTGCAGCTTCTTTAAGTAAAAAGGATAAAAGATTGTTCACTTAGAGGGATAAAAAAGGATTTTATTAGGATTTTGTACATGTATAAAACGATCAGGTTCCTCTGGAGCCGGTTTGGATGCCTTTCGCACCTTTTCAAGGATTTCCACTCTGTTCCTCAGACTCTGGACCTCCTCTGTGACGTTCTCCGCCAGAGTGAAGCTTCCTCCTGAGGAAAAAACCCCCCACAAATGAATCACTATATATTGTGTGTAAGTTCAAGCTGTGGTTGGCAGGGGGTTAGACTACAGACAGCAACATCTTAAAATCAACAAAAAAAACTCTAATGCATGAAAATTAAGGGAATTTCCGTCAAAGGTAGAGGAAACCTACACGTTTTACCGCTTTAGAACGACAAACTTAAATCTATTTTTTTGGGATTTAATGTGAATTGACCGACAAAACTAGTGTATAATTGCAAATTTTATGGAAAAGATGCAGGGACATAGTGGAGAGACAGAGAGACCAAACCCACTTGGTTTGGATGGAGAGTAACTATGAACATCTGCCACAGATTCTCCTTTGGATTTCATTGTGAACTTTCACTGGTCACTTCTAACTTTATGGGCTTTGATCCAGAGCGGGGAGTCCCAGCATTGTGCTGAAAAAAATGATCCTGATCTGCTTTACATCCTCCTGCTGG